CCCCCCCCCCCCTTAGGCCTCCCCACTTCCCACAGGGAGATGGGCTGCAGTTGGAGTATGAGATGGTCCTCACCAATGGCAAGTCCTTCTGGACACGGCATTTCTCGGCTGATGAGTTTGGTGAGCATTGCGGACCCAGAAACCAGAATCTTTGTGGAGGTCTAGAGTTGGGTGCTCACTGCCGAGGGACACCCAGCTTTGACTGAATCATTTCCTCCTTCTACAAAATTGGCAGGGATCCTGGAGACAGATGTGACTTTCCTCCTCATCTTCCTCCTCATCTTTTTCCTCTCCTGTTACTTTGGATGTAAGTCCAGTATGTGGTGGTGGGGTTAGGAGTTATGGGGGGCAGGGTTGGGGGAATGAGCTAGTCTCCCTTCCTGTCTGTGAACCACCTTCCCCTACTTTTCTTTTAGATTTACTGAAAGGTCGTCAGTTGCTCCACACAACTTACAAAATGTTCATGGCTGCAGCAGGAGTGGAGGGTGAGTTTCAGAGTATCCCAGCTTTTGAGTTCTGTCAGAGGAGGGACATAGGGTCCAGATACCTGGGTCTGAGGAAAAGAAGAGGGGCTGGGGGCCTGGATCCTGGGTCTGAGGGAGGAGGGGCTGGGGGCCAGGACCCCTGGGTCTGAGGGAGGAGGGGCTGGGGGCCTGGACATCTGGATCCTGAAGAAGAGGGGCTGGGGCCTGGGCTCCAGTCTCCTAGGACGTCAGTGGGCGTAAATGGTCTAGAATCCTGATGGGGATGAAGGAGGGGTTCTGGCCATCTGGATCATAATGCTAGGGAACAGTGATGCCCCAAAGCTGGTTTCTGTCCTTTCTCCCCTCAGTCCTGAGCCTCCTGTTTTTCTGCATCTACTGGGGCCAGTATGCCACTGATGGCATTGGCAACGAGAGTCTGAAGATCTTGGGTGAGAATGAAGTGGGCCAGGGGAGGGTGCCTGGGCTCTCTCTGAGCCCTATGTCTGAGACGCCCTCTCCTCCCTTCTCCCAGCCAAGTTGCTCTTCTCCTCCAGCTTCCTCATCTTCCTGCTGATGCTCATCCTTCTGGGGAAGGGATTCACAGTGACACGGTGCCCAGGCTGGGGCGGGAGGGAGTGCTGGGGGGAGGTGTGGCTGGGCTAGGGAACAGGACACTGGGGTGGATCTGGGGGGGATGGCTTCCCGCTTCTCCCTGACAGCCCCCACCCCTGCTGTCTCCCTTCATGGCCTGCTGCCAGGGGCCGAATCAGCCACTCGGGCTCCGTGAAGTTGTCTGTCTACATGACCCTGTACACTCTCACCCACGTGGTGCTGCTCATTTACGAGGCTGAGGTGAGTGCCGCTTCCCACTGCCCAGGCCTTGCCTCTCCGCCCCTCCCCAAGCTTTTGGCCACCTCCTCCACCTGTCTGCCAGCCCTTCCCCACATCGCACTCTAGCTGGCTCGCTCTCTCCCACTCTGCGATTTCTGCCTGCCCATCTGTCTCTCTAAGTGCATGCCTCCTCTCTTCACCATCTCTGAGGAGCCTTCTTCCTCCTCCCTCTGTCTCTCACTGTCTGTCACATTTAAACTCAATGTCATGACTGAGAGTTCAGGAGTCACACAGACCTGGATTCCACTCTGGCTCTCCCCCTTCCCAGCTAGCTGACCTTGGGTGATGCCCACCCCCTCTAAGCCTGTTTCCTCTTCTGTAAAATTGGGAGGGTCTTATTTATCCCAGAGGGCTCCTCTAAGGCTTTATATCACCTTGGCTTTGCCTTTGGCCAAAAGCCGCCCCTTTTAGCCTCAGTTTCCCCCTCTGCGAAGTGGGGGTGTTAAGAAGACCCACCTCATTGGGTTGACGCAAATGGAAAAACTTACGCATGGTAGGTGGTTAGCCCCATGTTGGACCCCTGGTAGAGAATGTATTCTCTTTCTTTTTCACCCTCACTCTACCTCTATGTCCTTCTATTTCCATTTTGTTCTCTCCTGCTGCTTCTGTCGTGACCCAGTAGCTCTACTCCCTGGGTGCCGGTGGGGGGAGGGGCCTAGGGTCTGGGGTCCTTGTGTGGAGGGCAGGAGGTCAAAGCTATGATGAACCCTTTCCCTTGGGTGCAGTTCTTTGACCCAGGCCAGGTACTATACACGTACGAGTCGCCGGCGGGCTATGGGCTCATTGGGCTGCAGGTGGCGGCTTACGTGTGGTTCTGCTATGCTGTGCTCATCTCCTTGCGTCACTTCCCGGAGAAGCAGCCCTTTTACGTGCCCTTCTTTGCTGCCTACACCCTCTGGTGAGACGTGCTGGGCCCCCAAGCTGTCCCTGTCTTGTGGGGCTTCCCATTTCTCAGACCCTCCTCAGTGAGGCTGATGGGCTTGCAAGTCAGGCAGCAGACCCAGTCTGCCACTTACTTCGTGACCTGGAAAAAATTATTTTCCCAAATTAAAAAAAAAAAGAGAGAGAGAGAGAGTGCCTCAGGTTGCTTACCCATAAAGAGTTATCTTGAGCATGCCTAGGGCACTATAGAAGGGCCTTGTGTTTGGTACGTAGTAGGTGTTCAATAAAACCTAGTTGTAATTTTTTATCATTCAACATAACATAGTCGTACGGTAGGCAGATTCTAAGCCTGACTGCTTGGGCTCAGATCCCAGTTCTAAAGCTTGTAAGTTGTATGACCTCACACAAATCAATGAACTTTGCCCTGCCTCAGTTTCCTCATCTGTTTAATGGGGATGGAAATTGTACTTGCCTCGAAGAGTCATTGTGAGTTAATGAGTTTACAATCGTGAGAAGCTTAGAGACAGGTCTGGCTTGCAGTTAAGTCCTTAATTGTTATTATCATATGTTAATGCATTCAGCAAACATCTTTTGATTTCCTATCAGGTGCCAGGATTTGGGGTGGGGTGGAATGGAGTTAAATTCAACCTAGTCTTTGCCTTCCAGAATTTCCCAGGCCAGTGGGATTCCTGCCCCCTTTTAATCTGTGGCTTCTGAAGGTTACACTGGTTTCTCTCTAATTTGGGACACACCTGGGCCCTACGTGTGTGTGTGGCAGGGGGGCTGGGGCCATGGGGTGGGGAAGAGGGCAGAGGCAGTGTCTCTACTGAACCAGCACCTCCCCTGCAGGTTCTTTGCCGTTCCTGTTATGGCCCTGATCGCCAACTTCGGGATCCCCAAGTGGGCCCGGGAGAAGATTGTCAATGGCATTCAGCTGGGGATCCATTTGTATGCCCATGGCGTGTTCCTGGTGAGGAAGGGCATCCAGGTGGGGGTGGGAGCCTGATGGGTGGAGAGTGGGTGAAACTCCCCAACCCCTGAACTGCCTGGACCTTCTGTTCTGAGCTCTCCATCCATTTCCTTCTCTTCATTCTTTACTCATTCAACAGACACTTACCAAGAGCCCGCTGGATTCCTGCAGGCTATTCTACTCTGTCCCCCCAAGAAGCCAGCCTCTTCTATTCTCTCCCACCTTGTGTTCTAGCCTCTTCCACTGACCACACCCTCCCCTCTTTCTCTTTCTTTCTTTCTTTCTTTCTTTCTTTCTTTCTTTCTTTCTTTCTTTCTTTCTTTCTTTCTTTCTTTCTTCTTTCTTTCTTTCTTTCCTTCTTTCTTCCTTTCTTCCTTCCTTTCTTTCTTTCTTTCTTTCTTTCTTTCTTTCTTTCTTTCTTTCTTTCCTTTCTTTTTTTTCCTTAAATAAACTTTACCATCAATGTGAGGCTGGAACTTGTGACCCTGAGATCAAGAGTCTCATGCTCTACTGACTGAACCCCACCCTCTTTCTCAGCCCCTCCCCATTCCTGACCCTGTGCACTGCCCCCCGCCCCCTCACGTTTCCCTTCTGTATCCCACTGCCTTTCCCAAACCCCTTGGTCATTACTCCACCCTTCACCGACACATTCTTCCATCTGCTGCACCATCACAGACCATTGTTCAGGAAGAAGCAGGTGGAGTGGGTCAGGCTGGGGCTCCAGGGGGCCTAGATCTGAATGACATCTGGAGGGGATCAGCACTAAACCTCTTCTTTGCCGTGGTTTATATCCTATCTGGGCTTCTGGGTGACAGTTCATATACCTTGTTTAATTGTGTGTCAGAGCAGCCCCAGGACAGGATGGATAATGGTCGTTGCACCCACTATACAGAAAGGGGAAGCTAAGGTCCAAACAGGAGAGGTGACCTGCCAGGGCTCCATGGCCTCTGGTAGGAGGTCAGGGCCTTTGCGCCCAGTCCTTCCACAGCCAACCATAAGAGGGAGCCAGACAGGAGCATAGGCACTGATGAGGATCCAGGCTTCTGACCGCAGGGGTCCACAATGTGCTCTGGGTGGCGAATGTACTCAGTCACAGATGGCCTGGTCCCCCATCTTCTACCCCAGAGCCTGACTTAGGTACAGACTCACCTTCCCAGGACAGCCCTTCCTGAAGCTCTGCAGGAAGTCAGAAAGGGACAGAAACAGGAGAAATGCTAACCATCACGGGCCAAGCTCTGCCCTCTCCTCATCTTTCCGAGTAGGTGCTGCCATCCCTTTCCCCCAGTGAGGCTCAGGGAGCTTTATCGACATGTCCCAGGTCCCATACTCAAAAAACTGGGGGGCGAGAGGTGAGGTGCAGGCCCCGGACCCCCAAGTGCAGTGCCCTCTTAGCTATATTTCATCTTCAGCCAGTTTCTTTTGTAAAAATGCACAGTTAGCTCAGCACAGCCCCATTCCACTGTTTACTGCTTTCAGCTGCTTGTTCCCATGACCTTAGAGGGGTCGCGCTGGGCTCCGGTGTGCAGTGCTCGAGTCACACCCAGTCCCTGCTCTCAAGATCTACTAGACTAGTTGGGGACACACTTCTACATTCAACCAATATTTATTGGGTGCTTATGTGCCAGGTGCTGTTCTAGAAGGTATTGGGGATTCAGCAGGGAATGAACAAATTCCTGCCCTCACAGAGCTAACTTTCTAGAGTTTATCAGGTGTTGTTGTCCAATTGACCTTTCTGTGTTTATAAAAATATTTTATCTATACTCTGTGCTCTCTGATACAATAGCTACTATCCACGTGGGGCTACTGAGCACTTAAATGTGGCTAGTGTGACTGAAAACAAAAATTTTGGTTTAATGTGGATTAATTAATTTATTTTTTTTTTAAATTTTTTTTCAACGTTTTTATTTATTTTTGGGACAGAGAGAGACAGAGCATGAACGGGGGAGGGGCAGAGAGAGAGGGAGACACAGAATCGGAAACAGGCTCCAGGCTCTGAGCCATCAGCCCAGAGCCCGACGTGGGGCTCGAACTCACGGACCGCGAGATCGTGACCTGGCTGAAGTCGGACGCTTA